TTTGTTCGAATTTGGCATGCGTATTTAGCATACGCAGACCTTTAAGAAACCTATTTACGACATCGCTGTAAAATCAATAGGGCAAAAAAACTAGTAGTTTTACTGTTAAGACTCCAATAAAATACAAAAAAAATATATAAAATTTATCGTTCCCATTCACCTTTATTTCCTCGGAGTCTTAAATAAATCATGTCGCCTCTGAAAAAAAAGAACGCCAGCTAGCCAGCAAGCTAGCTACAACCTTTTTTCCCGATCTTTCAATTTCTCGAATTCAATTATTCACCTGTATAGTTTGTATTCAGGCCGGCGATACGAACGGCCTTTCCCATTTTACGAAACGTTTTAATAGAGGCCCTGCATCGCTCGTAAATCACCATTAAGACCTTTAATTCATTAATTAAATACAAGACGTTGCTTTCCGACTTTTCCCGTACAGCAGTATTCCCAAAAGAAATAATTAACATCTTTGAACAGGATGCCGAAATATAATTGAATTTATCATCTATATATCATGTCGAAGATTTAAGTAATGTGCTTGGTATTCTTTTATACGGATTAGTGGTGTGTTCTTCACATAACGATTTTAAATCCCTAAATTTTTCTTTGCTAGTTTTTCTTGGCTGTAACCATGAAAACGTCAGGAAAATATCTTTTAAATCAAGTTTTTGTCTCTTTAAAGCATTTGTATTCATTTTGGAGGTGGCTAGTTTTATAAAATATTGTAAGTTAGTCATGTTTTTTAGTTTAATTTCCATAAAATCACTCCATTTCATGCGCTCCCCTGTATTGGATGCTTTTATTGACAAAATACTTAAATCCTTAGCCGTTGCCGTTGCCAAAAATCATAAAAGTCGCTGTGCAGAAAGTCTTACACCATGTATGGCTACTGTATGTCTTGCAAGATGAATGATAGGATGCAGTTGGGTAGATATCAAAATGTCACTTGAAGCTGTACTGTCACTGGGCAATGCTGTGGAAATCGCACTGTAGGCAGAATCCTCTTCATTTTGCCCATCGTACAACTCAAAGTAGTATAGTGGAACGTCTTCTATATTGGATGTACTCTTAGCTATAAAATATAAAAGCATTGTTGCAACGATGGAATTTTTATTTTGTCCAGTGCATCCAGCTGGAAATAGGGCAACCGACTTAATCTGCTATTTAGAAAACCTCACTGCCTTTATTAAGGTCCGAGGTATCAGGCGAACCTGGTTTGGTAATATTTTTTACTTACAAAAATTATATTTTTGACAAGTAAATATACTTTTACTATTAACAAGACGAACTAATTTTGATGGCCGGCCGTTTGGCGGCATCACCAACAAAACACGTCTATCCTTGTATCCTTAATGAGACGCGCGGATATTATTTTTTGCTTCTTTATCACGCTTTGCTTTTGTTACAATTTCACTAACTAGCCCAATTTAGATAAGCCATAGACATATAATTCCATGTACGTTTTTTAATTTTACAAAATGAAGTAACTTGATTTACGTCTCTTCGTTAAATTGTATTATTTATACTCAAGTGAAATACATCGCCTTCAATAATTTAAGAGTTGTTAAGAACAGACTTACGCCACTCCCTGATAATACAGAGCAGACTTTTCTATGTACCAAAATTGAGTTAAGTCAATTTTTTGAGATAAGCCACTTCGTGATATTGACGTCGATATTCCGGGTGTTTTTCAAAAATGGCTCATCCCTATAATTTTTTTATTACTTGAAATAAAAAGACGCGATTTGATACGTTAGTATATGTCATAAATGAGAATCGATTGACGTATTTAATGAGCTTCCTTCACTTCTTGTTTCACCGGAAATTACTACAACTTTTGATTTTTAAATGATACCGTCGGTATTTTTTTACTATAATGACAATTTGACTCAAAACACTCTAAGTATGTGGTATCAAATTTATTCGTAAAAAATGTTATTTCCAAGTATGCTAATGAGCATACCCTCTATTTAAACAAATTGAGTTACGGTTTTAAAAATACAATTTTGACATTTTCTAACCAGCCAGGAAAAGAAACGAAAAACATTAGACGATCAAATCTATTTTTCCGAAGCTCCTTGATTTAAAATTAATAGTTTTAACACAGCTATGGTACTCTAAATTGAAACATAAAATGCAATTTTTTTAATTGGAAATCTTAAAAGTTTTCTATGGTATGTCATTCTGTTCAGAATGTCATTTTCTGTCATATAAAGGAAAAAAAAATAGCGAGAGTACCAGTAGTAATTTCCGGTGAAACAGGATATGACCGAAACTAATTGAAAATGTCAAACAACCCCGATTTATGTCACGTACTGTCATATTTTATATGAAAATTATATATGAAAAAATAAAAAAATTATAGGAGTGAGCCACTTCTGAAAATCACCCGGTATGTAAAATTGACACTTTCCAAGTTAAATTGAGAAGATCTCTAAAATATTAATAAAATATAAAGATTTTTATCGGTGAGCATTATATTTTAATTATATATTTTAGGTAAATTTCATTGCCGACTACGTAGATAATAATGACATATTAAGGAGCAATAAAGATTACTTAACTGAAGTAAACAAAGAAGAATACCAAAGAAAAGTTTCTGACGAACTGCGTATTGTCTATGATCGGCACCTTTTACTACGCAGGTATTTAAGTAATTTGTTTGTTTTGTCTGATCTACATTTAATTTATTAATTTAAAGACTTAAAAAGTGTTGTTTTTTGTATAGTATTTGAGAATTTATAAGTACAAGCCCTAATAACTAAATATTCGGACAAACAAAAATTTATTGAAGACTTTAATTTACACAAATTAATTAACTAAATATAACAACTGCATTAAGAATATATTAAAATCTATCATTTATAATAAGAATTGTTTAAAAAACTGTTTAAGTTCAGTTTCTATAAACTTTAAAATCAAATGTGGGCGAATAAAAAAACAAAAACATTGCACAAACTAAATGTTCGGACACTTTAAAATATTGCTATTTTAATATGGCGTTACATCGCTGTTATATCATCAAATTCGAGAAACACTTTTAAAAAAAAACTTTATTAAGCTTAGTTACAAAATTAATAGTATTTAAAATGTTATTTAAAATATAATTAATAAAATAAAATGATCAAAAATAAAACTAACAGTGTCGTTCTGCACTCGATAAAAATTAATATAAAAGTCTCTATTACCAATAAGTGATTTCTTATTAAATATAGAAACAGTCGTTCAGTACTATTGCGTTGGAAATGCTGATGTTGCTGGTTGACTGACCGCTCGGATTTGGCATCGATGGCTGGCGTTACACGGGGTTCAGTGGCCAAGTTATACAGGGTGTCCCAGAAATCAGTGCAAATATTTTAAGAGGTGATAGATCTCGATAAAAGAAACATATTTTCTCTTTATCGTTTTTCAAATAAGTCCAAAATAAAGGAGTTATTTTATTTTGAAAATTTCCAAAAAAAATGATTTTTTGCTAAAATTTTGAGAACCACTGAATCTTTTCAGGATTTCCTTTCTTGTAAATTTAATCTAATACCTATGCTGCCATGTTATCAAGAAATTATGTTTTTTAACTAAAAACTAAAAAAAATTCCAAAAAATTTTTCAAAAAATTTCGAATTTTCAAAATTTTTTTGCGAAAAAAAACCTCATAGGCGTGTTTCTGTGGTTGAACTATACTACCAGTTAAAATATTTGCACCTATTTCTTGGACATCGCCATGCGTTACATCGCGATATGGCGTTACATCGCGATAGCTTTTACAACAGCTGCAATCCTATCTGGCATTGTTTTTATTAATGATTGACATATGTCAGGGTCAAAATTTTGCCATAATTCATTTAATTTAATTTTCAAATCGGTAACGGTTCTTTGGGGATCATCACGCAATTTTTGCTTCATTTTATGCCATAATGTCTCGATGACATTGAGGTCCGAACTGTTCGAAGGCCATGAGAGGACCTTGATGTTATTGTCCCCAAACCATTTTTTTGTAGTTTTAGCTGTATGGCATGCAGCACCGTACTGTTGGAATAAATAGTTATAGTAATATAATAGTTAATAGTTCCGGTCCGGATAAAGGTCCCTCGCGCTTGGCACAAGACTTTTTGTCAAAATTTGTTGATATTTTGTCGCATTATTTGTTCCTTCTACCACCTCATTTTCCTAAACCCATTGCGGACATACACCCCCAAACCATAATGCCTTTAGGAATTTTGCTGTCCTTTTGAGGAAATCCTTATGAAATGTTTCATTTTTAGTTCTGATAACACGTTTCCGAAAGTCTCCCACGCATACGTCAAACTTCGACTCGTCACTAAATATGACTTTGGACCAGTCTTCAACAGTCCATGACATCTTAGATTTGGCCCAATTCAGCCGATTTATTTTCTGTTTCTTTGTTAGCAGAGGTTTTTCTTTTGCCTAAAATATTGTTAATTATGAAAAATTGTGAATTTCGTAAAAAAAATTGACGATTTTGATCAAAAGATTGTCCAGATTTGTGTATCCACTTTCTACAGCATTCCCCCGATAAAGTCTTTCCTGTCTCTGCATTCCACTGTGCTGTGACGGATCAAGTATTACGACGACCCAGTTTACAATTTTTACTAGCAATCGTCGATCACTATCAATACAATTCTCGGTCTCCCCGAACTTTTGCCTTTAAGCCTCGTTTTGACGGTGATAGTACTATCATGATAGTACTCTCATGATAGTCACCTCGATTGTTCCATCATGAAAGTGAGGTGTTGACACGTATTTTAAAAAATATCGGGATCGTATATAGCAAAATGGCCGACAGGGCAAAAATTTGTGCAGTAGCAGCTGTTATTGGTGAAATAATTAATAAAATTCAACGTAGAAAAAAAAAGGAAAACGAAGAAGATATGGGTGAGAAAATGGATAGCAAGAAGAATTACACTTGGTGCTTCTGAAAGACTTCTGAACGAACTTGCTGTAGAAGATCCGAAAAGTTTCTTAAACTTTTTACGCATGATGAGGAAATGTTTAATACGTTACTAAATAAAGTAAGTATAGGCCTAATTCCAAAATAATCAAAAGTTATATTATTCACTAGGTACAGATAAATTTATTTATTTATAGGTTTGTAGCAAGATAGAAAAGAATTATACTGTTATGCGAGAACCTATATCAGCAAAACTAAAACTTCAAATAGCTTGTCGATACCTTGCCACTGGCGACTCATTGGGATCATTGCAATACCTTTATCGAGTGCCAAAGTGTACTATAAGCCAGTTTTTACCATATGTTTTTGATGCCATATACGAAGTATTAAAAGAATATGTTATGGTAGGTAAACAGTAACTTTATTTACAAAATTCCAATCTCAAACAAAAAAAAATACAAAAAATGTTCAAACAAAATCAACAGAATATTCTAAGTTTTAAGTAAGTATCTATTTTAATTGAAATCAACACCGGCGTCATCACTTTCCGCCCAATTCTTGAAATAATTTGTTAATTGCATCTGACCCTGATGCCGAAATTGATATTGTTCATTTACCCCTGAAGAAGTTGAGGAGTCTGTATTGCCTTGTAAATAACTTTCTGAGCAAATAGTCTCCTGTGCTTCATGGGAAAATAAAGGATTATTGCCATTTTGATTTTGCACTTCATTTGGAACCTGCTGATAATGATATCGTTTATTTTCCCCTGAATAACTTGATAGTTCTGATGTATCGTCTTGTCGATACATTTCTGATGAAGAAGTAGTGGTCCGTGTTTCCTTGTCGAATGAAGTGTTGATTACATTTTGATTTCTTAAACAACGCAGGCGAACAGTTGTTATAGATTTCTGGATATCCTCCTGAAGTAGTAGTGCTTCTTGTAATGGAAGGCACTTAAGTTGGGAAGAAACATGTTGTCCGAATGCATCAAATTCATTGGAGGCAACAGATGCTACTTCTTTTAAAGCTTTAACAGCCTGGTCCAACGATTCATCCTCCTTACTTTTTCCATTGTTCGCGAGTCTTTTCCGAGTCTTTGTTTTTCTCGCCGAATTAACAGAGGGGGTTTCTTCATAATCTCTACTAGGCTCTTGTGAAGATTGATTTGGCGTTATCGGCTGTGCATTAAGCTTTTTAAAACATGATTGTGCCTCTCTTGAATTTGTAAAAGGGTTTTTTTCACACTCCCATGTCTCTTGTGTCGAGTCTTCATTTACTATTGAGGGTGCATTTCCCTGGATTTCTTCTGAAATTTGTTCTGGCAACATCTACAACAAAAAGCAAGATAAATAATATAATAATAGTACATTACCTTATAGGCTGAGAATTTTTTATTATAGCTGAGCCCAGAATTCACGGCCGAGCCGCTAGAAGTGGGCGAAGCAAATAATATAAGATTCGCAGCCCTGTTGTATATACACTATTTTTTTAAGAAATAATATAATAAAATAATATAAAAGAATGATTTTAATTGCTTTAATAAATGTGTTTTCATTTTCAGATACCAAAAACTGAAAACGACTGGAAAAAAATTATAAATGGGTTTGAAACTTGTTGGAATTTTCCGCAGTGCATAGGAGCAATTGATGGAAAACATGTTTTAATTCAGTGCCCTCCTAATTCCGGTTCTCAGTACTTTAACTACAAAAGAACCTTTAGTATTGTACTACTGGCCCTGGTGGATCATAATTATAATTTTATTTTTATTGATATTGGGAGTTATGGCAGCATTTCCGATGGTTCAATATTTGCTAAATCCTCTCTTCATCAAGCGCTTGAAAGAAACATATTGAACCAACCAGACGGTTCCGTTATATTAGGAGACGAAGCATTTCCACTTAAGCCATATTTGATGAAACCCTATCCTCGACGAAATCAATTAAGTATTGCCCAGAAAGTATTTAATTATAGACAATGTAGAGCCAGACGTGTAGTAGAAAATGCGTTTGGCATAATGTCTTCGCGTTTTCGTATATTCAGATCTCCAATATTACTTGCTCCTACCACAGTAGTAAAATTAATAAAAGCTACATGTGCCTTGCACAACTGGATAAGAAAAGTGGGAAATGAAGTAACAGTAACAGCTGATATTGAAGATCACGTGACAGGGCGAATAATTCCTGGAAATTGGCGCAATGTTCCTAGACAAAATGGTCTGGCTGATGTAAGAGCAGCTTTGCAGCGAAATTATTTGCCAGAAGCTCGACAAAAAAGAGAAGACTTAACTAACTATTTTACAGGGCCAGGAGCACTCGATTGGCAATACAAAATGATAGAGTAGTAATTGCGAAGATTCATCCAAATAATGAATTATCATAAATTTCTTCTAATATTTTATAATTTAGGATATGTCAAAAAATATATAAGTAATATAATTTGATCAGCTAAGGGTGTTCAATATCTTAAAAGTCCTCATAATTCTTATAATTCCTTAAAAAAATCCTAATAATTCCCACCAGCTTGTGCAAATAATAATTCCTAGGTGGTTTATCTCTCAAAATCTAACATACAGTATGTCCGGTAATAGGGTAGACAAGAGGGCAAACGGAGCAAAAATTTAAATTTTCAAGGAAAAGACATTCTTTAAAATAAGGGTATTTTATTCTTGTAAAAAAAATTGAAATTTTAACTTTTGGGACACCCTGCGTATATTTTTTTATTTTATCGATAATCGTATTTTTTTGGAAAGCAAAACTTTTTATAAAGAATATCGTTTCCTCGGAAAATAAAATGTTTGGTCCGTTTGTCTACCATCGCCGGACATACTGTAGCGTGTCCCTTGAAAGTAGCTCACCCTTATAACTTTTATTTTTTACCTATTATAACCTTTTAATGTCTGATATATGGTATCAGACATTAAAGGGCTATAATAAGTAAAACATAAAAGTTATAAGGGTGAGCCACTATTAATAAGGGATACCCGGTATAGCAGTATTTTAGTTAGCAACATTCGAAAAAATCCAACAATTCAAAACTATGATCCATTTACTTGATCAACCTGTATGAAATAAAGCTGAAAATTAAACAAAACTTACCAAATTAGATTGTGACTCATTTTCTCCCAAATTTTGTCTCAAAAAACTGTCAGCTACGTGAAACCATGAGAGTTTTGGTTTATACACAGTATCGGTGCCCGATCCAGTTCCCATGGATTTCCTTATTTTAGCAACTTCTTGATTATACGTGCATCTAATGCTCCTTATTTTCTGCCTGAGTTCTTTTATTGTAGAGAGTCCTGATATGGGTAGCAGAAGTTCTTCTGCATGATCCCTCTTGACTCTGTTTTTGAAATCGGGGGAACTTTTTCCATAAACATGGAAACCTTTCATATTCTTCCAAAAATTTTATCGTGTCAAATCGCTGGCTGCTCATTTTTTTACCGAATTTTAATACACAAAATTGTGCACCTCTTCAAAAAACAACTTATCACGAAAGTACTTGCAACTATCTCATCAAGCGAGATAGTCCGAGAGCACTGTCGCGACAGCATGATAGTAACTATCGGGGTATTTACATGGTGATAGTTTATGCGATAGTGTCTCTCATGACAGCAACTATCGCATAATCTATCATCGTGAAAACGAGCCTTTAGGCCGGATATTCCCACTCTCACGATAGTGCTTAAATGTATCCCCAACCGTCGACTTAGCCAAATCTAATTCACCGGCAATTTCACGTATTATTTTATACCCAATATTTTTTTATTATCAATCCACGAATTTTTACATTTGTCGCACTTCCTCTGGCCATTTTTGATTAAATTCGCCAGTATGTTTTGTAAAACGGTTTCTAACAAGCAAATGTCAGTAGCTAATAACTTATGATTAAGTAAATGTCAAAGTTACTTGTTTGACACAAGGTAATTAGATAAATGGAAATGTTAAATAGATAAATGTTCGTATTAAAATACTAATTTCTTAAGTGTCCGAACATTTAGTTGTCATGATATTGTGTATTTTTTGTTTATTTATCCGTCGACAGTTTATTTTCATGTTTATAGAAACCAAACTATATAAATAGTCCTTATAAATGACAGATTTTAATATATTGTTAATATAGTTCTTAAATTTAATAAGTAAATTAACGTTTTCAATAAATTTTTGTTTGCCCGAATATTTAGTTGTTAGGGCTCGTATATAGTGTCTGAGTATTTATATGTTGTTTATTTGTATAAACATTCTATTTCAGTTTTGGACACCGATACATATTTTTACGTGTCCTATAGGATTAGCGTAACCTGTTTCATTAATCATTTAGGAAATGGATGCTAGACCTACAACTCGGTTTCTGTGCGTGTTTCGGTGCTTCTATTCTTATAACAATTTGCACACCGATTACGTTTTTTAGGGTCCCGTACCTGGACCTATAAAATTTGACAAGTAGTGTCGTCTTATACTACAAATATAGGAAAAAATCTGAAAATTATACATTTCTAACTAAATCATAAAAAATATTTCCATTTTTTTAAGTCCATTTCAGTAGTCCGAAAAAGTAGTAAAATGAGAGTTCAGTATTTAACGTTTTATGTAAAACTGGCTAGGTATTTTTACACAAATGAGGAAGGGAATTAAAGATAAAGGATTATACTATATCCGTATTGTAGCACCTTTTTAGACAACTTCTTTATTTTTAAGATTTTGATAGTCAAACATCAACAAAATATTCCTTATGTTTGGACTAAATTTTCTCATATATTATATCACGAAACCTATAAATTTAATCGATTAAACTATTCAAATATATTTTGCGCGTGATATTGCTTGGAAAATAGTTGAATGCACAATAATTTAATAAAATTATTGTGCATGAAACTATTTTTTAAAAAGCAAAATCATGCAAAAAATTATTTGGGTAGTTTAATCAATTAAATTTATAGGTTGAGTGATAGACGGCTAGATTATTTCCTGAATGACTTAGAATGAAGCGAATGGCTTAGGATGAAGCAAATAACTAATAATTAATTAATTACTTATTACTAATAATAATTTTATTAACTATAAAATTTAACATTTTCGGACAACATTTTTTTTACAAACAATTCATTTTCACTACAGCAGTAAATAAAATTTAAAGACGTTTCAAAATGACGTCTCGTAAGTAATGTTTGTGCTTATGCTACCTTGGTCACGCATCCCAACAATGCATCGAGGACCGTTTCGCATGTCAACATATCAAATTCTGACATATTTTTCCCCACTTATTTGTTCAAAATAATATCGAATAAGGGGTTTTCACCGATTAAAATCGTTATTAAGTCATACATATGAGTTGTAAATCAATGTTTTTAAATGAGCTGTTGCCAAAATCTTTCAGAATTAGTGATAAAGGACAAAAATAAAACCCAAAAGGAAGCCGAAAAAATAATCGCGGTTAAACTGGTCTTGGAATTTAATCACTTATCTAAACAAAATTTATTCGAAAAATTAGATTAGCTGATTGGTCCATTTCACGATGAGGGAAATAATCGAAAATAAAGACATAATTTTAATATAGATACAAATAAATTGAAGTTTTGTGATTACAGTGATATATAACTTATATGGTTTTGTAACAAATTGTTCGCTATTTTATGGCAAATGCTGAAGCTCTGCAAACCTTCTTCTTGCAGTGCCATACTCTATACAGAGCGTCGGCTACCTCTCGCATGTACTTGTGATGTGTGTCATCAGTGTTTCACATGTACACGGGGTTTGGAATTTTGGGTGTGGCTTAATACGACAGGATCGGGCTAAGCCTTAGGCAGATTTCTGAAATATAATATATATTTCCTTCGGCGACACACCCGCTTTACCCGACTCCTGAGAGCGACCCGAACAGTACTGCCTAATAGACTTTTAATTAAAGTGTGTAATCAATCATCGAGGTTAAGCAACGGTATGCCCAGTCATAATTGTATGGGTGACTAAATCTTTTAGTAGAAATCTGGATTAAATTTGATAAGTAAGAAAACAACAACTTTGATTATGTTACCTAATTAATGCAGGTATGAACTGTTAGTATAACCACAATTTCCGATAAGTAATTATAGGTTTTGGATCGTCTTCATCTGGAAGATGTTGTATTAGGTTTAAGACAACAGTTTCAGAAGTCAAAATATTTAAATCCATTTGATCCTTATTTTTGGACCAGTAATCAGGCAATTCTGAGACCTTCACGACGTATAATAATAATAATGACTTTATATTGTGCTAAATAAACAAAAATACAATTTTTCACGGTATTTCCAAAGTAGAAATATAAATATGTATTATATAGTATAATACTTTTTTAATAAATTATTGCCTTACTAGGATCCACTCATATTTCCAAGTAAGGTTAGGCTAGGACCGTGGACTGGAAAAGGGACTGGACTGGGAAAAGAATGACCTACATCTGCATATTTTTCGAAGACTTGGCTGCCGTATAGGTTTGACTTTTCAACCATTAAAAATAACATTTCTTTAGTCAAAAACAACACAAAATAGTCTATTGGCTCAGCTAAGGCGAGAATTTCTGCAATTGTTGGACCCATTCCACCTTTTCCAGTGAACCGAAATTGTTGTTGTCTTCCAGTGGGATCATTCCAAACTATGTTATTATAACCTCTTACCGGGTGATGTAGATAAAGTTGCAGTTCTAGCATATCATGGCCTTACGCTGAGCCGTCTACCGGAGATGGAGTTGAGGTTTTAAGACCGGCTTGGAGTTGGTGATGGGGCGGTTGTAGCCTTTTTTTCAGTGAAAAGGGAATATATCTTCATCATCTGAGTTAGACAAGCGCTGGCATTTTGAATCTGTGAAATATTTATTTGAGAGAGAGAGAGAGAGAGAGAGAGATATGTGTTAAAGACGCATCGACTGTAGAGTCTTTTAGCGTCACTTTATACCATTATTTATATATTTATGTCTAAACTAAACGTTCTCCGTAAATATTTATTTATGTTTATATATGTCGATGTCCTTTGTATAATCCAACATAGCCTTGTTATTTTGGAAGGAAAGGGCTGCCTCTGGGTTATCCACGATACCGTGTTGTCTTCGTTTTAACGCGTACTTTGGGCATTCAAAGATAATGTGTTTGGCGGATATTGGAAGATTACATGTTTCACAAATGGGCTGGTTCTGTCCTTTAAGGAGGTGTTCATGGGTAAGTTTCGTGTGTCCTAAACGAATTCTAGTGAGCACAACGAAATCTCTTCTAGGTAAGTTAACTACATTATTTTCAAAATAGTCCCTTTTGCTTTCATGAAGCTTATTTTCATTCATGTCTAAGTCCCATTCTAGTTGGATTATATTATCGATCATATGTTTGCCATAATTTTTTAGATCTTGCACGGAGAAACGAGGTTGGTTTTATGAGGGTTGGGAGTTTCAGCCAAGTAATCAGCTCTGTCATTGCCAGGA